GCTCTGTGAGACACACGGGAACTGAAAAGCTTTTGTGTATGAGTGAACACAGTGTTGTGGGCACATTTTCTACACGTGAGGCTTTTATGCTCTTTTTGAGCTATCTCTGGGACGTCGTGAAAACGGTGTTTGTGCACATGCAGTGCTTTGTGTATGAGTGAACACAGTGTTGTGGGCACATTTTCTACACAATAGGTTTTTATGCTCTTTTTGAGATATCTCTGGGTCGCCGTGAAAACGGTGTTTGTGCACATGCAGTGTTTTGTGTATGAGTGAACACAGTGTTGTGGGCACATTTTCTACACAAGAGGCTTTTATGCACTTTTTTTTTTTTTTTTTTTTGGATTTCTCTGGGACGCGGTGAAAACGGCGTTTGTGCATATGCAAGCGGGAAAAGAGACCGGCTTGTTGATGGCGGTGTACACTGCTGCAGTAGCCGTGTGAACGGGGACTGACAGAGGGCGAAACCTTGATGGCGGTTCAGCCATGGTGAGAAATAGCCGTCCTTTTCTCAGCTGAGGCTGGTCACGTGAGCGGCCTGCAGCGGGATATATATATAGCCTGAAATCGCTGCACTTGTGACGCGCGTCGCGTGCAAGTGCGTGTTAGAAACGTGAGCGCTGCAAGCGGGCACGAGACTATTTTTAGCCTGCAGAGGCTGGACTTGTGACGGCATAAAAATTATCTGCGAGAGCCGGAATCGAACGCGGGTCTCTGGCGCGAAAAGCTTTGTGATACACCACTGAGCCACAGGGGTAATGACACAAGCACAGTAGCGCGAGCAGATAAGAGGGCGTGATAGCAGTAACAGGTTCGGCCTCAGCGGAACTAACACACTATAACCCATTTGTCCAGCTTTATGCTCGGAAATGAGAACGTTTCTCATGAGCGCGGGAGAGCGCGGCCGCTTTCTGTCACGTGAGAGAGCTGGGCGCGAGCTCAGAGCTGCATAAAGATTATCTGCGAGAGCCGGAATCGAACACGGATCTCTGGCGCGAAAAGCTTTGTGTTCCACCACTGAGCCAGGGGTAAAGACACAAATATAACAGCGCGAGCAGATAAGACGGCGTGATAGCAGAAACAGGTTCGGCCTCAGCGGAACTGATACACTATAAACGCTTTATGTAGCGGCGTTATATGCAGGCGGGAGAGCGCGGCCGCTTTCTGTAACGTAAGAAAGCTAGCCGAGAGCTCAGAGCTGCATAAAAAATTATCTGCGAGAGCCGGAATCGAACACGGGTCTCTGGCGCGAAAAGCTTTGTGTTCCACCACTGAGCTAGGGGGAAGACACAGGCTTAATAGCGCGAGCAGATAAGAGGGTGTGATAGCAGCGACTAGTTCGGCCTCGACGGAACTTAACGCACTATAAACCCACTTGCCGGTGACGCGTATGCATGGGGCCGGGCTAGCTCTCTTGTAAAGTAAAGAAAGCTAGCCGCGGTTGGCACAGCTCTAAGCGGCTCGTCCCCCATTCAGCGCTCGTAGGCGGTGAGAGGGGGAGGCGGCGTAACGCTTCGAGTCGAGCCCGCAGGGTCAACAACAGAAGCCCAATCGCAGAGGAAACATCCGCCGTTGGCGAGAGAAAGCTCTGCGTGTCCCAGTCCCAGGCAGAGAGCGCAGAAGAAGGCGGGCTCTGGCGCTGAGAGGGACGCGGCATGAGCCGCAGGTGTGCGAGGCATCTTAAAAAAGACGCTCGCTGCTCTTTTAGATACACACACACACAATACAAGAAGCTTTTTGGTAAAGGATATGAATCCGTCGGATGGCGCTAGCTTGCAGGACGGCTGAAGGTGGCGAAGACGGCCGGCTTCCTCAGACTCCCAGATGCTCGCTAGAAGGTGCCTTTTTCCACGACGGCGGCTTTTCTCAGGACAGCAGAAGCGTGTAGCTCGCTGAAGATGAAATGAATCAACATATAAGCCTGGGAGAGACTGTTATATACACCATACCCACGCCCATTCTGGCGGGCCATGACGCAATGAGTGCGCGGGCGCCTCTCATTGGAAGCGGGTTCAGCCCCGCTCTCCCATAGGCTTAAGCAGTTTTCTCTGAGCGAACCAATGAGCTGCTAGCTAGCCTGCTCTAGGTCTGCCGCAGAGGAACTGCGTTGTCAATGGATACAAATTACGAAATAATTTTTTGGCTTCAATATCTCAGCAAAGATGAATCTTTCCCGCAGCGTAAGCTAGCTTACGCAATACGAGAGAACCTCTCGTAAGAGAACCACTATTCATCAGCATGCATTGATTAAACCCATGGCATGTAGCAAAAAAAAAAAAAAAAAAAAAGGTGCGACCAAATCATATGCTGGTGCGACCAACTGAGAAAGTTGGTAGCAGCAGTGCAACCAGTGGAAAAGTTAGTCTGGAGCCCTGATCAAAGGTAATGGTTTTCCTCCGTACAGCAGCGACCCAAGCCATCCGACGCCTCTTTGTGATTTCAGACACCAAGTCTCCTTGTGTTTTTTTCCACGTTAGAAAATGGTGAAAAGTAACACAATTTGAGAGGCGTTTGCCCTTTCAATCGTGAGATCGATTACAACAGTTCACAACAGAGCAATACTGAACCATTTTCCTTTAAGAAAATCAAGATTAAAAAGGATAATACCAAATGACCAACGTTATAATTTGAATTCCTGCCTACTGCCTACTACAATACATCTACTTCCGTACCGTGATTCCCACAATGCATTGCGACGTGACGCAACGATCCCGAGCTCTATAAGAAAGCGGAAGGGGGACTGGAGGTACTTTTCTTTGAAGATGTTAATAGAGCTTTTAAAGTAAATTGGCTTAAAAGATGTTTGATCAATGGTAACTCCCTCTGGAACCATATCCCACATAGTATCTTTAACCAAATAGGTGGTCTAGTATGTCTTGTGACTTGTGACTTCAATATTAAAATTGTCCAAATTCCACCAGCAAGTTTCTGCTATAGTTTGCAACACCACTATAGGTTCATGCTATAGATAATACATTTGTGAATATTTTGAATAAAAAAGGAAAAATTACATAAAAGCAGATCATCATTCATTCAGCGCTGTGTTGTGGTTGCGCTCTGTCACGTGACAAGCAATGACGCATCACCATGGAAACATTAAAGTGACAGGTTCTTACAGTTTTTCTCGATTGCTTAAACACTATAACCAGGCTTTTGAACTAAAATTTCAAAACCATAATGCCATTTATCAAAAAGCACACCCATTTCACTGAACTATGAACACTATTCCCCTGTTTTGACACATTAGTCAGATTTGTTGAACTGTCACAGCAAAACTCTACACACAAATCCCTTCATTTCTCATTGCCTACACCACATGGTCATTTAGAAAGCACTAGCATTCAAAATTGTTCACTCAAGTCAGCACAGCTTCAGCTCAGTTAGCACACAATTACCCAGGTGAAAACACTAAGAGTCAAAATTGAACACACATCAGTCAGATCCTTCAATAGATAAAAGCTTATACAATCTTTTATAAAAGATAAAAATTAGTTTACTGAGTTTTGGAACAATGGATCCACAGGAAATTAAGCAATAGGTCGAGGAGGATGAGGAGGAGGATGAGGAGGAGGAGGAGGGAGAGGAAGAGGAGGAGGAGGAGAAGAAGAAGGAGGAGGAGGAGGAGGAAGGGCAAGGGCAAGAAGACAAGCAGTCTCGGATGAAATTCAAGCCACTTTAGTTGGCCATGTCCTTGTCCATGGTATGACTATATAAGGGAGGCTGGGCAACGAGTACAGCCAAATTTGAGTCGCTTCACCGTCGCCTCCATCATCAGAACCTTCAGGGAGGTGTGGTGGCAAACACATTTCTATCACTGAATAAGAGACAAACATTTCCAATTGTCTTTGATGAGGTTTATGTTCTTGCAAGAAAAGGCCAGCAGTCGTACAGTCACACAGAGCGGCTGCAGAGTGTGACAGTGAAGGGAGGGCATCCTTTCTCCTTTATAGTCTTGACTCCCAGAATGTTATCTTTCTAGGCCAATGATGGTATTTCAACCATATGTGGAACATTCTTAGACTTGTTCATCATATTGTATCCTTGAGTGGAGGCATGTACCAACACTCTTTACCATTCCAATACAATTCCATATTTGAATAAGGTTTGTGTGTGCTCTTTTACTGTCATATGATGCTCACACACATCTTACATAAGAGTAGGAGAGAGTAAAAAAGCAAGCAACATGACTTACCAGTTTTGGAAATGTTGTTTTGAATTTATAGCACCAGTGTGTAAGACTATGTTGTAGTGTGTGTATTTTTGAGGGCTTGTGTGTCCTGTCTGAGGGCAACGTTTGGTTTTTTAGCAAGAGTGAATGGTTTTGAGTGTAGAGCTTCATTTTGACCTGAAAATAGGATGTTTGGGGAATTGGGTGAGACGTTATGGGTTTGTGTTTACTGTTTTGAGAATACGAGGCATAGTTTCAAGAAATGTGTTTAAGCAATCGAGAAAAACTGTAATAAAGGTCGCCTTGAAAAACAGACAGGTCAGCAAGAGTTTTTTTTAACTAACGTGTGAAAGGGTTAACTAAAATATTATTAATTTAGCTTAATTTTCACAAAAATAAGAAAACGTGAAAATGTAATTGTCAAAATGTGATTTTTAAATGGCAGATTTTTTCAGTAAAATCCCGTTTACATTCATGTTGATCTGAGGGGGCGGGAGAGTCCTGTGTCCCCCGTGGCGCCGGCCCTGATCATATATACACCTCAACTCATTTTATGCAACCAAAAAGGTACGAGAGGCTGTGTCTGCTGTATCGTGAATAAGTCACGGCTGAAGGGCGTTATTAGGCACGACGCAAAGCGGATTATTTTCACGATAATATGGTTTAATAAAGTGCCTGCAACCCCTTCAGCCATGACTTGTTCACGATAATATGGTTTAAAAAAAGGCCAATTAAACGATATCCAATTAAACAATCTAGTAAAACCCACACAGTCATTTTTAACTGTATAATGCATGTTCTCTGTCTCAACATACAGCCCTGAATCAAACCTCTCATGTAGCAGGAATAGAAGCAGAAGACGGCCTGTAAAATGAGTGTGTGTGAGGAGAAAGAGGAGAAGGCTTCTGTTCACACTCAGAGAGCAGCATCTCCAGAGTTCAGCTGTGTTTCTATGAAGAGTAACAACTCCATTGGTCTGCCGCCTGATCTCAGTGATGGACCTGCTGTGACCTCTGACCCTGTGTGAGTAGTGGAAGTGAAATTATTGAATAGAGCTCGGGCGTAGACGTTATTGAACTGTGCATTGTGGGTAACGGCGACCATTTTAGAGGGCAACGCAAAGGCCGGTTTGGAATAAGGTAATAGCGTAGCCGGCTGGTCTCCACCAGCACCGAGAAAGAGTTATGGACTGTAGGGTTGCCAACTGTTGCCAACTAAATTAGCCGGGACGTCCCGTATTTTGGGACTAATTTATTTGTCCCGTACGGCACCTCGCTTGTCCCGATTAAATAGACTGCTACGCTGATCTAACCACTAACTGATACAACAGCAACACGACACTTGAGAATGGTCACAACACCGGTCATCATCCAATCACAGCCCACACTCACGCGCATCAGACCATACGAATAACAATCTCTAAATGCCAACGCCCACATCAGCTGGATAAAACATCCAGTTTAATAAGAATCTTGTAATTTACCTCGTCTTGCTGCGCTGTGAGGAATAATACTATCGTAATAATCCTGTAAAAGTTACCTCAGAAGTGCTGGTAGTTTCATTTCGAGGAGCAATGGATTCAGCTGATGTAGTAAGTTATTTATTCTTAACCCTCTGTTTAGTGTGAGAAAGCTTTATGCGAGGAGGCGTGATCTCTCATTAATATGTATGGCATTTCACACCTGAGAAAGACAAAGACCCTCCCATAATGGCACTATTAGGTGCTATCAGGCCATATCAGTATGAGGAGCCTTGCACAAAGAATGAGGATATTTAAAAAAGAATGGCTTTTAGATTGTTTGGATTTATTTACAACACAACATAATCCAAAGATACACAACAAAGGACAAAAAAAACACATTAGTAAACACACTGATCTAAAGACAGAGGCTTGAACAGTCACACAACATTGTCCCATTCCTGAAACATAGTAGGCTACATACCTGTCATTTTCAAGGTGTTTGATTTTCATTTTACCATGTTCATGTGCAGTCTCCTGTGAATGTTGAAGTCAGCAGGACTCATCAGTGGCATCTCATCCCTGTAAAAAATAAAATAAACACCTGTGAACATGCTGATATCAAGAGAAACTATATGGCTGCACGACTTTGGGCATGCATTGTAGAGCCCGACCGATATATCGGCGGGCCGATATTATGGCCCTATTTTAGGCATTTTCCTAACTATCGGTATCGGCATTTATAATGGCCGATAAATGAATATTTAAAAAAATGCGGGTGCGGTGATTCATGTAAGGGTGGCGCTGCCAATAAAGCACCTAAAAGCTGTCACAAGAACTGGCAAAAGTAATGATTATGAATACAACAAATATAGCAAGGAGACATTTTATTTGTTTATTAATAAACAAGTGCTTTCAGTCAGTGTCAGCCAAAGATGAAGTTGACGATGCTGACTCGCGATCTTCAGTGAAGGCGTGCGTGCCAGAGAGAAATGCACATTTCATACGATTACAAGAGTCTGTCTGTCTTTCGTTTTAAATTGTTCTGCTTAAAAGTAGACATTTCAATATAGATATATTTCAATTCTCAGGTCTATACGCTGAGTTTCGGTTCATGAGATGAGCTCCAGTTCACCCGCAGGCGCCTCCGTGTCGAGATTATCTATCGTCTGCTATATTTACTTCTTATAAATTAAATCCAGGCAAATGGTTGATGAAACATTGATTAAAATTAAGATACAATTAATACAAAACGAAATTCACTTTGAAACGAAAGGTTTTGTGCTTTCTGTTTGATGTCTATGTGAAAGTTTCAAAGCATTAGTGCCGCTTTCAGAGCGCTCACGTCCGTAGTGCTGAACTGTCGCGTCTGTAACGTTGTTTTTTCCTCATAAATGCTAACACGAAAAATAAAATAAAATAAAATGAATATTTTATGTACCCTGTGGAGACTGAGAGGCAACTCTTCTTCATCCGGTGGGTAGTAGCCTACTTGTGATTTGCGCAGTGTAATTCACAGAATTGATTTCTCTGCTACAAGCCTCTGTCACGTATTGTGTGAGCTTGTGACTATTGCAAGCGCGCAGCTGAGAAGTCCTGATTATATTGTCTGCTATATTTAGGCCTATACTTCTTATTTATTAAGGCAATTGGTTGATGAAACATTGATTAAAATGCGTGGCGCGAGCGATCTCCGACAGTAAACTGATTATGCTTTGTCTAGGGTAAACAAAGGGTAAACAGCTGTTGCGACGCGAGCAATAACGGCCGTGTCCGGTGTAGACACCGTGTTAAAGCTCATTCTGCCTGATAACGCTACGTTACAACATCAAGCAATATTCCAAAAATGTATATAATTATAACACTTTATATAGGCCCATTTTGCATTAAGAGTAGCCTAGTTTCACGTTTAGTAGCCTACATTTTGCTTACTAATTATTTAAAATAGTATAAAAGTACTGTACATATGTAATTAAAAACGTTTTCATTATGATATTATTAATTTTACTTTAGTAAAAAGATCTGAGTTCTTCCTCCACTGGTAGAGATTAGAGGAATTAAGAGTAAAAATAGAAGATAATAAGGTTTTGTCAGTGACACTTTTGATATATTTATTGATACAAGTTATGACTAAATTAAAAGACAAAGTCGTTAGTGAAGATTATGCAACAGTATTTAGAATATAATATAATATAACATGCAATGCAAACTAGTTTGGTTACAGCTCAGCTGTATAATTGTCATTCTATCATTCCCCCTGCCTCCATTACATATCTGTGTCACACAAGTGTTTGATTACCACATTTGAGTGATCATTGCAAAACATGTTTATAAAATATATTTATTCTGTTTATAGCTACTGTGTAAAGTACCCATCAAAAGTTTGTACACACCAATAGGAAAGTGTCCAAACTTTTGACTGGTATACTGTACTATAATACACATAAATAATATTGCTACTGTATTATACACATAAATAATATCGGCCGATATATCGGTATCGGGCTTTTTTTACTCCCTAATATCGGTATCGGTATCGGCCCCCAAAAATCCATATCGGTCGGGCTCTAATGCATTGTAGATTTTTCTCGTTAAAATTGCTTTTTAATTATATATATATACACACACACACACACACACACACACTGCTTAGAATAAGTGAACACACCCATGCTAAAGTTAACTAAAAAGAGGAATAAAAAATCTTAATGCCTTAATTTAAAAAATGAGGAAAACTCCAACCTTTAGGGACATGAATAATGTCCCTGAATTCTTTGTGAATGAATAATGTATCGCAAATATTAAATGTTCACCATATAGACATGGTTTTATTTCAGTTAGTTAATAATAATAACAATAGCCTAGCATGCGGCCTATAAATCGTTAAAAAGGAAAACTTCAGTACACTAGAAAAAAAATATATGGATACGTTTACTTCAAATGTTTCCATTCGTTACAAACACAGTATTTAATAATAATAATAATAATAAAAAGTTTAATTTATATAGCGCCTTTCCCAAGCTCAAGGACGCTTCACAATGACAGTAGATAAGCAGTTTACACATAAACGGACAATGGACATTTGCCCAGTCCAAGTAATGAGCGATTGCAGTTGCAAGTCGCATTACATTTGCAATACAAACATAAAAACAAAGACAACAAACATTAATTATTAATTACAGACAGTTAACATTGTGACTGTTATGTCAAATTAACATTTTCATGACTGAAATACTGGTTAAACAAATGTGTTTTGAGTTTATGCTTAAATTCGTGCAACGTGGTTGTTGTCCTGAGAGCCAACGGAAGAGAGTTCCATAACTTAGGGGCTATAACAGAGAAAGACCTGCCACCCATAGACGATAGACGAAATCTCCGCTCACATAGGAGATCACAGCCAGAAGATCGGAGAGTTCGAGGGGGATTATAAGGAGAAAGTAAGTCAGAGAGATAGGCTGGAGCAAGACCATTGAGTGACTTAAAGGTAAGCAGAAGAATTTTGTAAGTAATGCGGGATGACACGGACACATGACATTTAACAGTAAACATGTTTCTAAACATTATAATATTCACCACATTAGAGTAAACACTGATATTAGCCTAACATAAAGCTGTGTTTTATTAAACATAAAAACATCCTCGTGTTGTACATGACAAATACTTTTCCTGCCTGTCTAGGCTATAGTTCATATTTCAACATGTTTCTGTCGATTTCATAAATTTTAGTCTAGCAACAGTTCAACTGGAATGTCAAGTGTATGCAACAATAACTCTAACTAATATAATTCATAAAACATTTCTTACCTTACATCTTTCTTGTCTTCAAATCGCGTTCTTCTTCTGATGTAACTAAATCCAATGTAAGCTCACTACGTGTCCGAACTCGACGAAAAGCAAATGACTGATGAAGTTTGGTGCTTTGTTTTTGAGGTAATGAGCGCGCTTCATGGAGATTTGCATATCAGTCTCTTTTGCGGGCATGGGCGTGGTCAAATTAAAAATAATGAGCAAGCGTTTAAGAAACTGGAAATCTTGTTAGTTTTATACAAATTACTTAAACAGAGAAAATTTGTTTTCGTTTTGAATCAGATCATTTAAAAGTACAAACTTAAATGATTATAAAGATATACATTTCAGGCCTGGGTGAATAGTATTAGCTGACTTTTGTTTAAGTTTAAGAGACGTGCTCCAGAAAAAAAGTTCACAGAGAAGGGGAGGCAGAACGCACACCCTGTTTATTTTCTGTATTTTACAAAAGCACAATATTTTATTTCGATTGTATGTGGGCACATAAAAAAGAAGACATTTAACAGTTTATTTTCTCATATTTCTTAACTCTATATGACCAGAAATGATGGTGGTACTTTAAGTCTATTTTTCTGCCATGTGGAAAAAAACGAGCAAAGCGCACGGGTGCGTTCTTGGTCCCCAGAGGGTTAAATGCTTTGTTCTAATCGCGTTATTGAATAGTGTCTGTAAACTGCAGAAAGACTGTTTAAATATGAATTGCGTGTCTGTGTGTGAATGAATGAATGTCAATGTCACCTTTATTTATATAGCACTATTCAAACAACACAAGTTGACCAATGTGCTTTACATTCTCACAGAAAAATAGAAAGAGAAACATACTACAATAGTAATAAAAAAAATAAAAACATTTAAGACGAAAAAGGCATGGCAAACAGATATGTCTTAAGTTGTACTTTAAAAACATGTACAGAGTCAGACGCGCACAGACTGAATGGCACAGACACGCGCGCGATGTTGTTTACTACAGATGTACATTGCATCTGTGCGTTCATTCACTCTCGCTCCTACATTAGTAAACATTATTTTTACATGAACACATCCAAACTATATTGCTATACTGCCCTACAAAGCCAAAAGGCAGTAACTGCATTTTTGGTCAAAAATGAGTTAATGTCATTTTTGGGATATTAAAGACCTCCTTTATCATGTGGATAAATATCTATACTCAATTTGACTGTTTTTTCGAAAAAATAGAGGGTTGTGTTCACAGTAACTCCCAAAACCATACAAGCAACCATGGCAGAAAGCGGTAACTGCAGTTACCATTCTTTGGCTTTGATCTTCGACGCAAAAGTCCAGTTACGTACTCTGCCTTTGTTAAGCCATTCATAAAAGAGATGTTACGGTGCCACCTTGCAGTTACGATGATCTGCCTTTGTTTTACTGTCCATAAAAATTTGCCGCGTTTCAGTTACTGTCCATAATTGTCACTAAATCACTTACTTCTACACTTCTACACACATAAAAAACGAGCTGTCAAATGTGTTGAGTGGTTGTTTTATCAAGTGTTGTGAGCATTTAACCGCTTCATTTGAGAAAAACTTTCGTCATGTCATAAACAGAAACTCAAAGGTCTTCACGGCAACCCGTCAAAATAAAAGTTCGGTTTAACTTGACAGAAATATATTACTGTTGTACAGTAGAATTTAGAAACGTCTCAATGTAATAATAATAACACTAATACAAATAAATTAAGATTAAAACTTAATTTTTATTCAATGTTTTAATTTTAACAGTAAAGCTCATTGTGCAGCATGTTGTTTAACCAAAAATGTTTGTTTAATTTCATATGATTAAAAGATGTAATGTAATTTAAGGTGTTGAAGAAGACACCGAAGTTGAGCCAGATGGCTGAAATTCAGCTACGGCATGGGTCCAGGAGCCTCTTCTTTAAGCACAGCCACAGAGACTGTGACTTCACTGAACTGGACTTCCTCCTGGCCAAGTTTGATCTCAAGATGCCCTCTCCCCTGAGGCCACATGACCGGGGCATTGAGGAGACAAAGAAAGAAGACATTTTAAAAAAACTTTGTCCTCTTATGCCCCCCAACAGAAGGTCTTTCTGGCTCTCACTTCTTGTGGAGGAGTGATGTTTATGGAGGAGGTAGTTATGCAGGTTGTTGCCCACCGTTGTTTGCAGGTTGTTGCCCACCGTTGTTTTTATCTCTATACATGAATTTCAAACCATCCATTAATAAATTTATATATTTGCGTTCTCTTTCAAATAAATGATTGTTTTTAATTATCAGAGATAGTTGTTGTATTTATTCACACTGTACACTCTTGTGTCACCTATCTGTTGGTTTTGCTGCACACAAAATTGAAGTTTTTTAGTTTATGCATTGACTCCAACTGAATGCACTCCCAGCACTGGATAGCAACAACGACATGTCTAAGTATTTGTGTGTCATCTAAAACAAATGCCATGATCATTAGACTTTAATGAAGGTGATCAGTTAATTATCTTCTAAATGGTGGTAAGCAAATATTGATTATATGTCAGTTACTGCCTTTTGCCTTTGCACGACTCCTTATTTTTTAGTAAATAATACAAAGGCAGAGTACAGTATCTGACAAATAAGGGTCAAAGGTCAACTTTGAGCACAAGATTTTTTATATACACACATTTCTTCATCTGGGCAACAAGTCACCAGATTTTCATTGCTCTACCTATAATACATTTGTGTGGACAAAACAAAAAACTTTAAAGTCATTTTTCTCAGTTTGACACTCTGGTCAGTTACTGCCTTTTGGCTTTGTAGGGCAGTATAGCCTACTAAAATTTTTGTTCTAATCGCGATATAGAATAGTGTCTGTAATGACAACATTTTGTTGACTAGTTTTGGATAGATTATACAGTTTTTACTCTAAAATAGACATCAAATAAGCTTTTGTTAGACTAAACTGTTATACAGTTTCTGCTCATATGTTAAATATATTGTATGTTATGTCAAAAATAAACTAATAAACTGTTCCAATAGTGTTTGTTCCAATGCAAAGCTATATAAAAATAATGAATCCTTAACTTTGAAATATGTATGCTAAAATGTATTGGCCTACTTTAAAAAATAATACTTATATATATATATATATATATATAATGTTGCTATGTATGTGTGTGTGTATATATATATATATATATATATATATATATATATATATATATATGTGTGTATATATATATATATATATTGTCCTTGCATTTCTCACCTGAGTGAAAGGCTCATTATGCGGGTCTTTGTCTTCTCAGGTGTGAACCACCTAATTATTCATGACAAGGGTTGGGCCGTTCTGTTTTTCGGCCCCAATGTTTTTCACAATTTAAAACAATCTATTGTTTTATGTGAATGATTAGGCAGGATGATTTTCAGATCATTTTGAAGCAAAAACTCTAGGCGACAACATCCATTAGTCAAAAGTATTTTGGACTCATATTTAGTATGTGTTTTGTGGCCTTATTTCAGAAACTTTCATTTTTAGTTTTATAGTTTTTTTCAATAACCATGCATAAACAATATTCTCTCAAAAATACAAACATGTACATAGCCTACATGTTGCTTACATATAATGGTAGCCCTGTTTGTGCTAAATAGAGTGTAATTAATGTGCCATTAATATGTTTATAAGCAACTGAAAAAAGGCACAATGTCAGGGCATGTCAAAACATCTCAAGGACCCCAAAAACACCTTAGACCCCAGCCTCCCTCCTCTCCCATTTGTTTTCAGCTTTTTTGCAGGTACTCCAATGCCATCTCTCTCTTGTTCGTCCACCCTTTGGATGCTGCTGTTCTTCTTCGTGTGATTTTTTTATAGAAAGATTAAAAATACGGGAAAATATTAAAACGGGATGATAGCCAGATAGCAAGGTAAAATACGGGACAATCCCGGGAAAAACGCGAGGGTGGACAGTTCTGCGTTACACCCCTTTAAAATATTTTTCTCCTAATTCGTTGTTGAAATTTAATCATTTATACACAGTGGCTGTCAACGCAAAAGGTTCTCGAGGGAACGCAAAAGATTTGAAAATTTTTTTTCTCCCATCCCAAATTTGTTCCACCACCATGCACCATTGTTTAGGGGCTCTGTAGTTGCTGTTGTTTACAGGTGTTAATTTAATGTAGAAGACAGATAAACTTTAAAGAAGCAATATGAAATATTATTTTCTTTTTCTCCGTATCATCAGCAAGAAGAGAAAGAGAGCAGCATCTTCGATATCTAGCTGTGTGTCTATGAAGAGTAACAACTCCATTGGCCTGCCGCCTGATCTCAGTGATGGACCTGCTGTGACCTCTGACCCTGTGTGAGTATCATGTGCAACTCTGTATTTCAGTCCCCTGAATTCAGAAATTGAGAAGTTCCCTTTGACCCTGTCTGAGTGTAATCATGTAGGGTGGGACATTTAACACAAAAAAACAAGAATGCACAGAAAAACTACAAAAACACCCAGTGGTTTACTGATCAAATGGTGTCTGTCTTTAAATTAATTCAACTACAACTAAAAGTTTCTTAAGGATAAAATAAACATATCTGCTAATGCTGTAAACTATATAGGGATCCCTTACTTGCACATTACTATAATATCAAAGGTTAACAACAGAGCCCAAACTATTAGCCTAAATTCAGTTGCTATTTATTTTTAGATATAAAAAACAACACTTAAATAACACATTGTATGTAAACTGCAGATTTTATAAGGCAGTTTTTACAGTAACTTCTAAATCTAGTTATAAAATGATAGAGCTGTGAATAGACAGTGAATCGATTTGATTCATGATTCATAGGTTTTTGATTCAAGAATGATTCGATTCGAGACGATTCACATAAAAATTTGATGCGCTTTGATTAATTAAATTCGATTCAGCATTATTTAAATACATTCATAGGATTATTTAAATGTTTCCCCCAATGTGTTTTTGCATTAATTTCTAAATCTAATTATAAAATTATAGGGCTGTACATCTTTGGATAGACAGCGAATCGATTTGATTCACGAATCGAGAACGAGGGGGGGGGGGGGGGGGGGGTTTGAGGGGGAGAAAGGGGGGCATTTTTTCCAAACAAAATTATTACATTTGTCTTGCCTAAATGTTTGCGCTCATTGCATTTTTACAATGGGGTAATAGCCTATTGTGGTTAAGAATTTACACATCACAAGGAAGCTTGATTTAAATTGTTTAATTAAATTGAAAAAAGTAGCACAAATAAATACAATAGAATAAAGATACAAATAAAGACAATTAAAGAGAAAAGTTTTTGAATAGGTCTAACACTATAGTATTCATATACAGATACTGAATAAAGTAATCAAATGGAAAATAACACTGGGTAGTATTTTAGTCCTGAATAAATTAAATACATAGGCTGTTAATCCTGATTCCTTTAACTTAAAGCCATCTTTTGTTGTTTTGACAACAAAATTAATGACAGACACATATGACTGCCGTCACTTTAAGAGCTAGTGCACAGATCCTGTGTTCATTATACTGGCATGCGTTTTATGCTTATTAAAGACAAAACCGACTATATTTAGAGTATAGCCTACTCACAAAGACCGAAATTGACAATTTTGCGTGTTAAAGCAATATAATCCGCGAAAAATAGTTACTAGCCAGCCAGCTGTTTTTGAGGCGGATTTTCTATGAATGTGCGCATAGAAAATAATCTCAGAGAGCGCGCGAGCACTGATTAGTTTAAAATCGCTTGAATGTTTAAACTGGTAAGACTTAAAAAGACTTCAGTCACGATGCACTGCTGGCCCGATTGTGCAAGTGAATATTCCGTCATGTCCCGACCTTACAGTCTGGTCCCGACTCCAAAACGCGAGTGTGTATTATCTAGTGCTGCCACTAACGACTAATTTTCTAACGACTAATCTTTCGACTAATTTTTCGATTAGTCGACTAATCTAAACGACTAATTAAAAAAAAAAACATTGTTTGTCATTTCGTTGTGTCCATTTTATTTTGAACTGAAGGGCCAAAATATAAAATGTCACCTGTTGAAAAACATTATGTATTAACAATCTAAGCATAAGTATCTGCATTTCCATACCAGTCAGAGTCCTAATCTAATCCTCTATTAACAAACATGCATGTATTCATTACTTAAATTAGCTCTTTGTTCTGCCTTAAATTAATACATTAGCTTACTGTACATATGTACATTTCTGAAATGCATAACTGAAAACATCACTGTGAATTGTAGGCTAAAGTAGATGCACTCATGCATTTTAGGTAAAGCTGCTTTGAAACAATATGTATTGTGAAAAGCGCTATACAAATAAATTGGAATTGAATTGAAAGAGTCTGGACTAGCCTACTACGCTTAGCTCTGCCTTATAATAAATCGCGCTGAAAGCAGGCAGGCACGCAGATATGCAGCTCTCGTTTACACTTGCGTGCATGCCGGGCCCGTGCCGCGGTTCGCGTGAATGTGAAAGCAACACGGACTCGGGTGCGCGTTTTAGCTGATTATGTATTTAGTTAAATAAAACACTTGTAAGGGATGATAGTGTTGATGATTTACCTTGGATACGAGCGAGAGCGAGTCTGCAGTGTATTCGCGCTTAGCTCGTGGAATCAGGGCAACACATTTGGAAAAGTGTCTCCTCAAAAAAGCCCATTTGCAAGCAGCAGAAGGCCACCTTATACGACACACGCACCTGTGTTGTTCACTCAGCTGCGCATAATAGCACAGAATTAATTAAAATATATATATATTGACCCGCGTTCTGTTTTCTATCATGCACCGTGTACGTTTGAGATTGCGTAAGATGCACGCAAACATACCAGGGTTCGGTAGAATTAAGTTGAGTGTGAAACCAGACCAATGCTGCGGGGGCGCCGGGAACAATCGCGCGCGGGCTCGGACCGCAGCAAACGAGCCCAGTGTGAAAGCACCGTCACCTGCCTCCGCAATTTTTCTTATCAAAGCAGTGAAGGCGGGGGAGGGGGAAGGAAGAGGATGGCAGATTAACCAGAAGGGCGCGCACATCGCACAGACTGGTGTGTGGAGGTGAATTACAGTGAGCCGTTTGAGATGGGAGACCAAAAATAAATAGGCTATGCGGTCAATAGTAAAACGACACGTCGACTAAAAAAATTGGCGTCGACTAATTTGCATGGTCGATTAAGTCGACTAATCGCGGCAGCACTAGTATTATCGCCGCAGCGCTTGATGCCTGCCTTGCACAAAACATTATGAGAAGAGATAGAAGACGCGCGGCACCGCTTGAACACTCACGCTGTTTGTGAAATTGCGTCTGGAAGATAGTTGTTAAAAGAATGATTTGATTTTATTATCTGTGTGGATTACAATTGCGGGAATTTCCCGCATTATAAATGGGAGACCTGCGGGAATGATTAGAATTATGCGCAATACCCGCAATCCCGCGCCGAAATTCAAGCCCTGGTTCTGGGCAGGAAGGATAACTCTGGGAGTTGGAAGGGGTGTGATCGCGATTCTGCATTCTCACATCGCGATACAGGATCGTGGACCTGAGTATCGCGATTTCGATTTTATATCGCGTATCGTTACAGCCCTAGTAAACTGTGATCACATGAAACTGAAATAAAAAAAATATTCTAGTTGTTTTAATTAAATGCAAACTAGGTAAACACATTGCAGTTCGGACAGCTTTACATATAGGTTTTCTGCATTACCCATATTGCAAATGGGCATTTCAAGGAACTTTGTTGTCACCTCCAGATTGGACTCATCATAATTCTTGCAAGGATGCCAATTTTTTTGTCGGTTTTTCTGTTGTTTGATTTATCGCACAACAATGAAAAAGGCTGAGATTTACATAACCTTGCTACGTCCTCATCAAGTTCCACTGCCATGGCACGTGTTAAGCAAAAGTGTCCAGTTACTTTAGGCCTTCAGTCCATGAAATCCATCATTATCAAGGATTCGATTAGATTGTCCTATTCATTTTGAAGCAACATATTTTTGAAGTCTATATCTTACCTCTGATGAGTTGAGTGGCTTTCGTTTTCCCCACCGAGTACTTCCGAGCGATGGCAGAGTCAGGGAACATGTCTGCTACACTACGGTTTAAATCATTGCAAAAACTTAAGGCCACATTATTTTTAGCGCAAAGCATTGACATTTTCACCTCAGCTTTGGTCACTTGATCAGCCTCAGAAATGTTTGTAGTTTCAGTTGCAGTCATTGGCTGGGCATGATTTTGCGCCTCTTGGGCGCACATGTACTTTGCAGATTTTTCATGTTGGCTCACATCACTTTTCTCTCCATGTGATACACTAAAATCCGAGCAGCAAATTTTACAAAAAGCATGACGTTTCCCGATGTTGCTCTTTGTGAAGTACAGGTAAGCCTCCCTCCTCTCCCATTTGTTAAGATACTTTCACAACGTTTTGGGCTTTTTTGCAGGTACTACAATGCCATCTCTCTCATGTTCGTCCATTCCTCGGGATGCTGCTGTTCTTCTTCTCGTGATTTTTTTCCCTCCAAACTACTTCAGCGGAAATCCCGCCCTGCAGCTGATTCTAAAGATTGTATTGCTCATGTGAATCAGAGTACTGATTGCCTACACCAAACACTGATCCCTAAACCTACCCGTCTTTGTAACCGTAACCAATGAAATTAGCTGCAGGGCGGGATTTCTTCTTAACCGGTTTTCGCCCAGTGGGATATTTTTATTTAATTTTTTTATAGAAAGATTAAAAATACAGGAAAATATTTAAACAGGATGATAGCGGGGATAGCAAGGTAAAATACGGGAGAATACCGGGAAAAACGGGAGTGTTGATTGTTCTGCGTTACACCCCTATAAAATAGTTTTTACTCCCAATTTGTTGTTGAAATATAATCATTTATACACAGTGGCTGTCAACGCAAAAGTGTCTCGAGGGAACGCAAAAAATGTGAAAAATATTTTTCTCCCATCCCAAATTTTTTCCACCACCACGCACCTTTGTTTAGGGGCTCTGTAGTTGTTGTTGTTTACAGGTGTTAATTTAATGTAGAAGACAGATAAACTTTAAAGAAGCAATATGAAATATATAATTTTCTTTTTCTCCGTATCATCAGCAAGAAGAGAAAGAGAGCAGCATCTTCGATATCTAGCTGTGTGTCTATGAAGAGTAACAACTCCATTGGTCTGCCGCCTGATCTTAGTGATGGACCTGCTGTGACCTCTGACCCTGTGTGAGTATCATGTGCAACCCTGTATTTCAGACCCCTGAATTCAGAAATTGAGAAGTGCCCTTTGACCCTCTCTGAGTGTAATCATGTAGGGTGGGACATTTAACACAAAAAACAAGAATGTACAGAAATATTACAAAAAACAGTGGTTTACTGATCATATGGTGTCTGTCTTTAAATTAATTCAATACTGTGTTTGACCCCCTTTCGCCTTCAGAACTGCCTTAATTCTACGTGGCATTGATTCAACTAGGTGCTGAAAGCATTCTTTAGAAATGTTGGCCCATATTGATAGGATAGTATCTTGCAGTTGATGGAGATTTGTGGGATGCACATCCAGGGCACTGGATGCACTCCCGTTCCACCACATCCCAAAGATGCTCTATTGGGTTGAGATCTGGTGACTGTGGGGGCCATTTTAGTACAGTGAACTCATTGTCATTTTCAAGAAACCAATTTGAAATGATTCGAGCTTTGTGACATGGTGCGTTATCCTGCTGGAAGTAGCCATCAGAGGATGGGTACATGGTGGCCATAAAGGGATGGACATGGTCAGAAACAATGCTCAGGTAGGCTGTGGCATTTAAACGATGCCCAATTGGCACTAAGGGGCCTAAAGTGTGCCAAGAAAACATCCCCCACACCATTACACCACCACCACCAGCCTGCACAGTGGTAACAAGGCATGATGGATCCATGTTCTCATTCTGTTTATGCCAAATTCTGACTCTACCATCTGGATGTCTCAACAGAAATCATGACTCATCAGACCAGGCAACATTTTTCCAGTCTTCAACTGTCCAATTTTGGTGAGCTCTTGCAAATTGTAGCCTCTTTTTCCTATTTGTAGTGGAGATGAGTGGTACCCGGTGGGGTCTTCTGCTGTTGTAGCCCATCCGCCTCAAGGTTGTGAGTGTTGTGGCTTCACAAATGCTTTGCTGCATACCTCGGTTGTAACGAGTGGTTATTTCAGTCAAAGTTGCTCTTCTATCAGCTTGAATCATTCGGCCCATTCTCCTCTGACCTCTAGCATCAACAAGGCATTTTCGCCCACAGGACTGCCGCATACTGGATGTTTTTTCCTTTTCACAACATTCTTTGTAAACCCTAGAAATGGTTGTGCGTGAAAATCCCAGTATCTGAGCAGATTGTGAAATACTCAGACCGGCCCGTCTGGCACCAACAAACATGCCACGCTCAAAATTGCTTAAATCACCTTTCTTTCCCATTCTGACATTCAGTTTGGAGTTAAGGAGATTGTCTTGACCAGGACCACACCCCCAATTGCATTGAAGCAACTGCCATGTGATTGGTTGTTTAGATAATTGCATTAATGAGAAATTGAACAGGTGTGCCTAATAATCCTTTAGGTGAGTGTATATTGTGCACAAGTTTTATTAACTAAATCACAAACATAGCTAAACTAAACAAACATGCATACATGCATGCATAGGTAAAATGGTTATTGATAGAATGGAACCGGAAGCAGGAAATGGAACTATGGAAAAGATTAATTTAACTATGAAAAGACCCACCAGCTTATCATTTTCAGAGTACCTCATTAAATGTATACTTGCATGGCATTTGCAGCAGACACATTTCTTGAAGATCTTGGAAAAATGTTGATGTTTCCTTTGAGTGTCAGACATTGAAGTTGCAATCATTTTCTTCTTCATTGGATGAAGATGAACTTGCATGGATAGCTCGACTCTGTTCTGGATGAAGGTTTTCTCTCTCCATGAGCACATGGCTGGTTGTGAGTCAAGGCCTGCTGGCCCTGGGCCGGAGAGGCCACAAAGGTAACCATGGAGTAAGGAAGTCGGAAGAGTTGATGGTTGCCCATTCAGTAATGGTAAAGTTACAGTTTTCCTCTGAGTTAGATTGAAGAAACTACAGTCTGACTCTGTTGGGAGAGTGAAAGCTAGAGACATTAACCAGCAGTCGAGAAGCAGGAAACGAGAGAGAGTCACTGTGAATTGGTCTCTAATAAAGCCCGACCTCTCCAGGTTTGCTTGACCAATGAGAACGGTGAAGATTTCAAGTGGGACAATTCCTTTGTGGTTGATTTATGAATCTTTGTTTTAAGCATACTCATTTGCATGTGCAGCTGGATTTGTTTCTGATGAAGAAAGATTCTTGTAATACATATCATGTACACAATCATTTCGATCTGCAAAGTAACAATTTATAGAGACCAAACATGGTATAGGTGACCATTGATTCTATTGTAAAACAAAATAATAGTATTAAAAGACATTACAAAAGTCAGTAAATCAATCGCAAAATGTTCTTCATGTTAATTTATAGATCAGTTCGTTGTATAATTAATGCAGCAAAGTCTGTATTATAAGGCTGTTTCTGTCTTCCCTATCGTCTTTGTTTTGAACATGTGACCACATTTTTAACAGCAATAAAACCAACTTATCTGATCGTGGTCATGGTAACTAAGACCTTCTTGCCCTCAGTGGGGGATGAGACCACAGATCTCAGATTGAGTTTTAAAGATTGTTTGGTACATATACCAAATATTTGTGTCTGATTTGTCTCAGTCATTACACTCAGCTTGTCATTAATATTCGGCTCTGTAAACGCTGCTCCATCTGAAAGCACTGCGAGTCACTTATAACGAACGTTTGAAAAAGCAACACGCGTCAAACATCTTTCCAAACATGAGAAGCATTTATGAACCTCTTGTCCAACAAAAGACAACATTTAATAACATGCTTTTACTCCAAAAACTCACTTCATAATTACAGTTGAGAATCCTTCTGTGAGATGATGTGGCTTCTTACACAGAATAAGGCAGTTGTGCGTTTATTAGTCATGTTTAATCAAACCGTTTCAATCTTGTATTTATTCAGCTACAGCGATGATGCCCGATAGGGATTTCCTGGAATGATTTGCGTTATCTACTTCTGCGGAGGGGCATTTTTGGAGTTTCTGCGTGAGAGTTATTCATGTTCAATTATTATTAATTGTCAACATTGTCTAATAATCCAAACATAGCTGTATAAGTTATTATTAAACAAAGCAAAGGGCAATGATTGCAGTTTATGCAACAATAACATGCTAACTAATGTGTTCTTCTACTTCTGAGGTAAATCCAAAGTAAACTCACAGCGTGTCTCCCAAACTCTTTGAAAAGCAGAGGACTGATGAAGTTTGATGCTTTGTTTTGAGGCGATGGGGGTGTTTACAGGTTTGCATTCCTTCAAGTGGACAATTAGCATGTGAATCGCTTGTGCGTGTGTGGGTGGGGTCACATTAGAGATGAGCAGACACTTGAGAAACTGTACGTACCCCTTGTTGGTTTCATTGGGATTACTTAAACAGAATATTTGTTTTTGATGTGAACTACATCATTTAAAAATAAACACTTTAAGCTTTCTAAGGTTATGTCTGTCTGGCAAGTATTCGCTGAGTTAGTTAATTTTCTGTCGCATTTCAGAATGGACTTCACACTGAGAGAGATGGCATAAAAACGTGCATAAAAACAGCCGAGCAAGTAACCAGGACAGAAGGGTCTGCAGAAGGAGGTCTAAAGTGTGGTCTAATAATTAATACCTTATCCGCAAATAATTGTAAAAACCTCTTGCAAGTATCAGAAGACACTTGTTACTTACAGTCAACAGAATGTCTAAAGGGTACCATCAAGAAAAAAGTGTTACCATACATTAGGCAAAAAAGTTATCCTCTTAAATTAACACCTCTTTCTACATGTTGTATGTTTTCAAATAAGAACGAAATAAGATGTTTTACAATAAGGCATTTAAAATATTTTCTCTAATTTTATAAAAATCTATCCTATTTTCTAATCTATCTCTCTGGTCATCTTAATGTCTTTTCAGTGGTGAGAGATCTGACAAGATCAGATATGTGTCCTGTCAAACCAGCACATCCTCCTCCTGTCAGAAATACATCAGTCATCATGACACAGCCCTGCAGCTCGATTCCCACCAACCAATGCATGATGATCTTCAGATGCATGATGATCTTCAGAGAGTCAAAGACCAGCACAAAACCAGCATGAAGAACAGACATGAGAGCGTATTTGAAGGAATCAAACTACAAGAGAATCAGACCCTCCTGAACAGGATTTACACACAGCTGTACATCATAGAGGGAGAGAGTGAAGGGGTGAATGAAGAACATGAGGTGCTACAGATGGAGAAAGGTTTCAAGACACTCCAAGACACTCCAATCAACTGCAGTGACATCTTTGGTCCTTCACCTGAACCAGGCTATGAGGAGAAGAGAAGAGAGAAGAAAGACAAAATAAAAACAGTTCTTACTAATGGCATCGCTGGAATTGGAAAAACCGTTTCTGTGCAGAAGTTCATTCTGGACTGGGCCGAGGGAAAAGCCAATCAGGATGTAGATTTCATGTTTGTGCTTCGATTTAGAGAGCTGAACTTGATTAAAGATCATCAGTACAGTCTTCACAGACTTCTGCTGGAATTTCATCCTGAACTTCAAGATCTGGACACAAAGGTTTATGATGAATGTACAGTTTTGTTCATCTTTGATGGTCTGGATGAAAGCAGAATTACACTGATGTTTTCAGACAGCGAGAAAGTTTCTGATGTGACCGAGTCTTCATCAGTGGGTGTGTTGATGTCAAACCTCATCAAAGGAAATCTGCTTCCCTCAGCTCTCATCTGGATCACCACCAGACCAGCAGCAGCCAATCAGATCCCCTCCAAATACATCAACCGTGTGACAGAAATTCAGGGATTCAATGACCCTCAGAAGGAGGAATATTTCAGGAAGAGAATCCGTGACAAGCGTAAAGCCAGCAGAATCATCTCACACATCAGAAAAGCAAAAAGCCTCCACATCATGTGCCACATACCAGTTTTCTGCTGGATCTCAGCCGCAGTGCTTCAAAACATAATGAAACAAAATCTTGGAGTAGAAATCCCTCAAACTCTGACTGAAATGTACATACACTTCCTCCTCATCCAAACTCATATGAGGAACCAGAAGTATGAAGAGAGAGATCCAGAGAAACTCCTGCAGTCCAACAGAGAAGTGATTGTGAAACTTGCTGAACTGGCTTTCAATCAGTTGATGAAGGGCAATGTGATGTTCTATGAGGAGGACCTGATTGAGAGTGGCATAGACGTCACTGATGCCTCAGTGTATTCTGGGATTTGCACTGAGATCTTCAGAGAGGAATCTGTGATTTGTCACAGGAAGGTTTACAGCTTTGTACATTTGAGCTTTCAGGAGTTTTTTGCAGCACTGTATGCGTTTTTATGCTATTTACACAAGAAGAGTGAAGTTATGAAAGAGTTCCTCACAGGAAAGTTCAGAAATCAGTGTGGGAATGTTCCTCTGGATGTGTTTCTGAAGGGAGCAATGAAAAAAGCCTTGAACAGTAAAAATGGAGACCTGGATCTTTTCCTTCGATTTCTTCATGGCATCTCACTGGAGTCCAATCAGAGGCTCTTACAGGATGTGCTGATATACACAGTGAACAACCTAGAGAGCAGAGAGAAGATAATCAACAGCCTCAAACAAGGTCAAAAAAACAATATCAGTCCTGAAAGATTGATGAATCTGTCACACTGCTTGATTGAGATGAAGGATCATTCTGTTGTTAAAGAAATGCAGAGGTTTTTAAAGTCTACAACGAAAAGCAAAAATCTTTCTCTTGCACAATGTTCTACTTTGGCAAACATGATGCTGATGTCAGAGGAGGTGCTGGATGAGCTTGACCTTAAAAAGTACAAATTCAAATCAAAAGAGGGTCGATGTAGACTGTTACCTGCTGTGAGGAACTGCAGAAAAGCTCTGTAAGTGAAAATATGAACATACAGTAGTTACATTTGACATGTCACGTTTGTGTTCACACGCATGAAATATAAATTATTGAAGTTAGGTATTGTATTCATTCTCTACCAAATTAGTATACATTATTGCCGTTAAGTATTGTATTTCTTCTCTACCAAATGAATACTATTAGTTATATAAAATATTTGTAGGCTTTGTAAACCTAACCAGTGAAGCTACCAGTAAAACTAGCCCAATTCTAGGACAGTTGTTAATGTCAATAATGTAATGCATTTTTAAAAAATGTTTTTAAAAAAACAACAACAATTTGTTAAAAACTAGGGATGCACAATCGTGTCAGCACATCATTTATGCTGATAAAGGCCCAACATTAAAATTTTTGCTGATATGCCTTGCCGATAAAATGAAACAAGGAATCGATTCGATGAAGCAGAGATGCTGATTTTTGTTCAGAATGCCTACATTATTGTCTATTGCCATTTTTTCTTTAACATTGTTTATTGATTTTGTTTTTATGGTTTAAAGTAGCCATGCAAGTAGCCCATCATTTTATTTATTTTTTATTTATGTGCCTTTGTAATCTTTAATCAAAAATATTAACACCCCTTCCCCTTCGAAGTGACTTCTCTTCTCTGATGGCCTGAACACCAGTGCAGCAGTGAGACAATGAGTTTGTCAAATTGCCAGATGAGTTTCAGTCTTTCCCCTCCAGCAACTGTGAAAGTCACTTTTGTGAAAGAATCACAGCAATAAGTAAAGGATAACGGTCTAATCCAGTCAATTTCTGATGAAAAAAAACAAGTCCTGCCCTACATATTGAATGATCAAATGTAAAATAACACTGTAATTCACTGTATAAATTAAATAATGAGTACTCCTTATTATTAAAGCTAAAAAAAATAGTATTCCGTCAAGAGCAGTGAGTAATTTTTATTTTGTTCTTTAATTAACATTAAGGGCACAGACTGCAGCAGGTATATTAGACTGTTGTCATTTAAAGACCTGGGGCCTCATTTATAAAACTTTGCGTAGGATTTGCGTCAGAAGTGGCGTACGGATGAAACATAGGACGTGCGTACGCACAGAAATATTCAGATTTATAAAACCGTGCGCACGCACATCCTACGCATTTTTCCCTTAATAAATCACAATCAACTCTAAATGTAGCGCAGCTTTTGCGGCTTCATGTCACACCCATAGTTGCCCATAAATAGTCCGTGAAACGCCCACAAGTTAATATTCATCGATTGCGAAATCATGGCAAACATAGAGAGGAAATCAAAAAAACTTAACTTCACTCAATGTGAAGAAGTTACCGTTGGCGAGGTGGAAAAGAGGAGAAAAATGTTGTTTGGCGGGCACAGTGTGGGCATTACTAATGCCAAAAAGGCACTTGAGTGGCAAAAGGTTGCAGACGCCGTAAAAGCTGTAGCCTCACAACCTTGGACTGTGGCCGAAATAAAAAAGAAATGACAAGCTACAGATGTCGGTTGTAATCTACTTGGAAATGGGAAATAGTTCAGCGCAAATGTAATTTCTTGCAGCTTTCTGAATGATTGAGACATAGGTCTACGTCATACGTCATTTTATCAAAAATAAAACAAACTAAAGGCATATGCATGAATACCATGATTCCGTAGCTGATGAAGACATTTTTACTATGAAAACAGCTTTCCCCAGTGGACAAATAATACATCTATCTATCTATCTATCTATCTATCTATCTATCTATCTATCTATCTATCTATCTATCTATCTATCTATCTATCTATCTATCTATCTATCTATCTATCTATCTATCTCCCTAATTATCTATCTCCCTAATTATCTATCTCCCTAATTATCTATCTATCTGACTATCTAATTGCATCTACTGTATATCTGCTCCGCCTGACGGACACATTGGCGAGAATATCAGTTTTGTACATTATTTCGTTCTGTTTACCATCTTATTTATGAGAATGAATTGTATAACATGCCAATATTATTGCAGAACATATTTTACTTTTCTTTTTGCAAATATGTGTTAATTTGCATTTCTGTTGCAGATCGATCAAACGGGTGTTCGTGTAGGCTGTTAATTGTAAGACTTGCTTTGTGAAGTCTTCGTGTTATTTATGAGAGGCAGTATTGCCATTTATTTTACACAACGGTCTACAGTTTCACACACTTTCACGTGTTTCTTCCATCTGCCGACGGTGTCGCCATTTCTCATTTCACACGTTTTTGTGCGTACGCCTGGGTCAGAGCTTGCGTGAAGGACCGCACATTTTACCGTCAAGTTTGCTTTTTATAAAAACCAATTATTGCGTAGAGAGCAGCGTACGCCTTCTTTTGTGCGTACGCAACGTTTATAAATGAGGCCCCTGATCTACATGATGCAGATCTGACACACATCCAATGTTCTCCCAACTCTTTACGTTCATTAAATATATTTTTTTTTTAAATTAATTTAAACTGTGCTTACAAGGACACAGCCATTTCAACATAATTTTGTTTTATAAAAGGTCGGCTAGACAGGAAGTCTTTAGTCTTGCAATCTTTAACTAACATGCCTTTTAACCAAATTCCTCTCTGTTTTCAGATTGGCAGACTGCATACTCACTGATCAGCACTGTGAAATTGTGGCTTCAGCTTTACAATCATCCAACTCCCCTCTGAGAGAGCTGGACTTGAGTAATAATGACCTACATGATTCAGGACTGAAGCTGCTCTTTGTTGGACTAAAGAGTCCAAACTGTCAACTCAACATACTGAGGTTTGACATACAAGTTGGTTGAATTTTTTTTTTTTTTTAAACAACAACAATGTGTGATGTACTCTTTTAATTAATGTACTCTATTATTTATCAATTAGAGTAATGTACTTAATGTATCAATTAGAGTAATGTACTCTAATTAATATATTCCAGAGAATATAGAAGATTTGTTCATGTGTTTTTGTATGTACAGTACATACAGTGCAAGTTGTCTTCCACCTGTAATTGCTGTATCGGATTAATAAATATTTTATAGTCAAGAGCTATTGCAAGAAAAAAGTATGAAAAATACATGATGATAACGTGGCCCTTGATGAATTATTTATCTTCAGTTTCTCTATATAAGATGTTATCAGCATTACTTTCAAATAATTGTTGATGTAAATATTTAGATTCATGTTCTATGCAGACACCTTATCAGAAACATGAGACAATGCACACCGTGCTCTCTAACATCAATGTCTGTCTATAAAGTCTGTAATTATTTATTTTTCCCGTATTAGATTGGCTCGCTGTAATCTCACCTATAAGCACTGTGAAATTGCGGCTTCAGCTCTACAATCATCAAACTGCCCGCTGAGAGAGCTGGACTTGAGTAACAATGACCTATGTGATTTAGGACTGAAGCTGCTCTGTGTTGGACTGAAGAGTCCAAACCATCAACTCAACATACTGAGGTTTGACTTACACATTGATTTAAAAATAAATAAATAATAATGTGTGATATTCTCTATAAATAAATGTACCATATATATTCCAGTGTTATAAATACAGCTAGAAGATTCTTTCATGTGTTTTTGTATGTACAGTGAATAGTCCAAGTTTTCTTCCATCTGTAATTGCTTACTCGGATTCATAAATATTTTATAGCCAAGAGCTATTGCAAGAAAATAGTATGAAAAAAAAACCTTGATGATAATGTGGCCATTGAGGAATTATTTATCTTCAGTTACTCTTATGTTGTCATCGTTACTTTCAGATAACTTGTGATGTAAATATTTACATTCATGGTCTATGCAGACACCTTATCAGAAACATGAGACATAACACACAGTGCTATCAAATATCAGTTTTTATCTATATAGAGTGTATGTAATTAATTATTTATTTTCACTGTATTTAGATTGGCTGGCTGTAATCTCACTGATCAGTGCTGTGAAATTGTGGCTTCAGCTCTGCAATCATCAAACTCCCTCCTCAGAGATCTGGATCTGAGTAACAATAAACTGCAGGATTCAGGATTGAAACTGCTGTTTGATGCGCTCCAGACTCCAAACTGTCAACTCAACATACTGAGGTATTTAGAGGGGTATTTTACTGTTCTGTATAAAATATACATGGACAATATAAATGTTGCATGTAATACTTACATGTTAAATAATAATTTTAAGAAATGTCTGTTTCATAGAGATGAATTGTATATCAGAACACTGAATAGAAACGTCTAAACACATTTGTGATTGCAATGAGTTCTGACCTGCTTGTTACCAGAAAAATACCTGAAACACTAAGCCCCGGGATTGAAGATGTTTTTTTTTTAAAGAATCCCTACCATTTCACATGAAGGTTTGGTTTGAATCTGCAAAAATGTTCCCAGGCTCAATTTTATTATTGCACAGAGAAAAGAGATCCGAAGAGTTATCTAGATACAGAAGCTTCTTGATGTTGACAAATGTAAACAGGTTCTGATTGGTTGATGATCTGATCTTCTAAATCAGATCACGATGATCACATATCAATGTCAATAAACACTAAACATAGCCACAGACTCATGGACAGCTCACAAAAGGCAGCAAACAGTCACTGATGCTCAGGGAGAGAAAAAACAACTATGTAAAGACCTATGAGTATGCACTTTTGAACAGGATCAGTAAAATCAAGATATTATTTTGTCTTGTGGAATACAGGCAAATATCTGTTTATAAATAGCCTATTTAGGGCAGATCTAAATCTTTGTTTCACCAATTTTGCACGGTAAACACATGAACTCCACTGTACATTAACCCTCTGGGGTCTGAGGTGTTCTGACATGCTCTGACATTTGTGCTTTTTTCTGATACTTGTGACATTTTCATGCTATAAGTCTGATTACATTGTATTCAGCACAAACTCTGCTACAGTAATATGTCGGCAGCATGTATGTAAAAGTTTGTAGTTTTAAGATAATGACGTTTATGCGTGGTTTGTGAAAAACTAAAAAAAAAACATTGTCACTGAAATAAGGTCATGAAACCCATACTAATTGTTTCTTCACAAGACTTTTGAAAATTGTATCACATAGAATATTTGCTTCAAAACTATGTGAAAATCATCCTGACTACTCTTTCAGATAAGACAATGATTTAAAATTTGTAAGACATGTTTTGTGTAAGCTTTATGCGGGAAGGCGTTAACCACCCATTAATATTGAAAGTTTCACACCTGAGAAAGACAAAGACCCTCCCCTAATGGCGCTATAAGGTGCTATCATTATGAGGAGCCTTGCACAAAGAATGAGGAGAGACTTAAAAAAGAATGGCTTTTAGATTGTTTGGATTTATTTACAACACAACATAATCCAAAGATACACAACAAATGACAAAAAAGCACATTAGTAAACACACTGATCTAAAGACAGAGACTTGGTCAGTCACACACCTTTGTGCCATTCCTAAAACATAGTAGGCTACATACCTGTCATCTCCAAGGTGTTTGATTTTTCACTTTACCATGTTCATGTACAGAGACTCATGTGAATGTTTAAGTCAGCAGGACATCAGCAGGACATCAGTGGCATCTTGTCCCTTTAAAAATATTTTTTAGAAAAAAAAACACCTGTGAACATGCTGATATCAAGAAAAAACTATAGGGCTGCACGATTTTGGGAATACATTTTAGATTTTTCTGGTTAAAATTGCTTTTTAAAATTTACAAAATGCACACACACACATTTATATATATATATATATATATATATAAATAAATATAAATAATGAACACCAGGTTTGTTGTGCCTTGTAGGCATATAGGCTACGTGCAGTGCTGCATAAAATAATAACAATAGCCTATAGCTGTCACGGGTGTGTTGTGGGCAGATGAAGAGGCTGAAGTCAAAGATCCAATTTCAATAAACTTTACTTTCAATATAACAAATACTCGCACGGATACAGACGGGCAGAAGGTTCCAACACACGTTAAACACAAAGTAACATAAACAAGAACCGACCAAGACAGACTGAACAGAGAGAACTAAATACAGATACAAACGACCACTAACGAAGTGAGGACAGGTGACACAGATGATAATGACGATGAACAGGTGGATGATTGAGGGAGTGAATTCAGGTGTGGAGACAAGAGGATGCTGGGAAGTGTAGTGAAGATGACGATGACAGAATGGTGCAGATGATGACTGTGACATTACTCCCCCCTCCCGGTAGGCGTGACCTCACGCCTTAGAACAGGGGTGGGAGGGTGGGCATCCTGGAGTCCGTAACGGGAAGGCGGACCGGGTGCAGGAGGATAGACTCCAGGATGGACCAGGCGGCCATGGCGGAGCAGGACGTGGGCGTGGCCAGGGCGGAGCAGACGAACCCTCGGGCGTCCAGGGTGGTGAGGACCCTTCAGGTGGCCATGGTGGTGAGGACCCTTCAGGTGGCCATGGTGGTGAGGACCCTTCAGGTGGCCATGGTGGTGAGGACCCTTCAGGTGGCCATGGTGGTGAGGACCCTTCGGGTGGCCATGGTGGTGAGGACCCTTCGGGTGGCCATGGTGGTGAGGACCCTTCGGGCGGCCATGGCGATGGAGACCCTTCGGGCGGCCATGGCGATGGAGACCTATGGCCCTCCCCCAAAAAAAATATTGGGGAGAGTGACTGGATGAGGGACAGGCTGGGCAGACGGGACGTGAGCAGACCCAGGCTGGGCAGACGGGACGTGAACAGTCTCTGGCTGGGCAAGCGGTGAGGGCTCTTTGCTGGACGGGACCAGTGGCGAAGAGGGCTTTGAGCTGGGCGGAACCAGCGGTGAAGAGGGCTTTGAGCTGGGCGGAACCAGCGGTGAAGAGGGCTTTGAGCTGGGCGGAACCAGCGGCGAAGGAAGCTCTGGGCTGGACGGGACCAGCGGCGAAGGAAGCTCTGGGCTGGACGGGACCAGCGGCGAAGGAAGCTCTGGGCTGGACGGGACCAGCGGCGAAGGAAGCTCTGGGCTGGACGGGACCAGCGGCGAAGGAAGCTCTGGGCTGGACGGGACCAGCGGCGAAGGAAGCTCTGGGCTGGACGGGACCAGCGGCGAAGGAAGCTCTGGGCTGGACGGGACCAGTGGCGAAGGAAGCTCTGGCCTGGATGCATGGGCCAGAACTGATGCGTGTGTAGCCCACACACACAGAATCTCTGCAGACATCACCATCAATGCAGTGTCCTCTTGAGTGGACTCACGTGCGGTGTGCTTAGTCTCTGGCGGGTAGGCGTGCACCAGCGGTGAAGGCAGCTCAGAACGGACAGTCTCTGGCTGGACGGTCTCTGGCTGGACGGTCTCTGGCTGGACTGATGTTACCGTGAGGGATGAACCACAGACCCAAAGCGCCCTATCCAGAAACTCCGAGAACGGCAGATGTAGGTCATCGAGCAGCAGTATCTGGGCTAAGGGATCATCCAAACCTCTCCAGAACCGCTGTTTTAGGAAATCTTCCTCCCAGTATACGTCCTGGTGTAGGTGAAGATATACCACTGTGAATTCCTCCAGCGAGGCCCCATTTTGGTCAAAGAGGAAAGCCTCCATCTGGTCGTCCATTTTTGTGGTCGGTTCTTCTGTCACGGGTGTGTTGTGGGCAGATGAAGAGGCTGAAGTCAAAGATCCAATTTCAATAAACTTTACTTTCAATATAACAAATACTCGCACGGATACAGACGGGCAGAAGGTTCCCACACACGTTAAACCCAAAGTAACATTAACAAGAACCGACCAAGACAGACTGAACAGAGAGAACTAAATACAGATACAAACGACCACTAACAAGGTGAGGACAGGTGACACAGATGATAATGAGGATGAACAGGTGGATGATTGAGGGAGTGAATTCAGGTGTGGAGACAAGAGGATGCTGGGAAGTGTAGTGAAGATGACGAAGACGGAATGGTGCAGACGATGACTGACAATAGCAGGTGGCCTATAAATCGTTAAAAAGGAACACTTCAGTAACACTACACTAGAGAGAAATATATGGATTATCATATGTTACTTTAAACGTTTCCATACGTTACGACGTTATGAAATGAGATTGGAGTAAAAACATGAAGCCTAATGTTTGGTGCGTTTTGCTTTTCAAACCCACAGCTCGAGTGACTCAAACTCACAGCACGTGCAGAGGACATTTACTGAAGCGATCGAGCCGCTCCAAACTATGAAACATTATTCTTACCATATTATACATATCTACGTGTGAGCAGATATCCACAAAAAAGAGTATTAAACAGTAAACACAGGTCTAAACATTATAATATTCACCATGAATAAACACTCATACGAGCCTACTGTTATATCGTGCTGTCTTTAAAGCTGAAGTCCGGCGTTTTTCCTCTGTCGCCATCTCTGTTAGAAATCTGCAATTGCACTCATTCGCGGAATTATCAACTTTACGTGAGTTGTACTTCAACACCCTCGACACGGCACAGCGCGGATGAACACAATGTTTGAGGAGAGTGTGCAGCTGTCAGTCACCGCGCCAGTGTGGATAATGGCATTCAGAATCACAGATTATTCTTTTTGGAAGTATGACCAACATAAGAATTTTCACCGGAAAATGTCATCTGAACAAGTAAGAAACATCCACTTTTGTTCTGGTTCTGACTTTGCAGTAAATCGCGCTGATTAAATCTAACAATCGCTTATAAGTTATCATATCACGCAAAACCTTGCAAATTATACTTTGTTCTCAAATTGTTAATGTTAACAACGTAAGCAAGCATTGCGTGACTACATGTAATGTCCTTCCGATACAGTATGTATCCTTTTTTTCGCATGGGTCCGGTTGCAGTCTCTTTTTTTCTGTAGCCACTCCTAAGTCCGAACGAAGTCTTTTGCATTTTACAGTGGGTGAATCTGTTGTCACTGGTGATTGTCGTTTGAACCTTTCTGGATCCGCCATCAAATTGATAAGTTTAATTATATCAAGTGCTGTGAGAGAAGGCTATAAATCTCCACCTCCAGCATCCTCACACGCAATATAGCCTACTAGCCGAGACTCCTTTATGTGTACAGATGTGACGTAATGACGCAAAGACATGCTCGAATCTCCCGCGGAAATCCACCAGTACCACTG